ATATAGGATAAAATACACAATTTAAAAAAAAAAAAAAACAAAACCAAAATTATACAAAGCTCCATAAAATACAGTGATTTGGGGGTTTTATTGGAGTTATTTTGGGGGGTGAGTGTGTTGGGGCTTTTTTTGTGGTTTTTTGGTTGGTTTTTTTTTTTAACTGAAGAGTGGCATGAGGGTTGGTTCTGATTTCCTTACATTTGGACCACCACCAATATCACTAAGGAGCTGTTCCCTTTATTGCAACACACTTGCACATCAGAAAGTCTCATCAGACTTATGAAGCAGATCTGATCTATGCTTAAAGAAAGCAACAAGGAAAGTAGCCACAGAAAAAGATCAGAGATTTGGTGACAATGACCTACTGCAGACAAAATTTTCTTCACATCACCTCATGGAATCGCTCTACTTTGCCTTCAGCATTGACACGTATTGACAACTGTGTTCAGGGAAAAATGAATTTTAGCAAATCAGGAAACAAATATCAGTATAACACTTAAAAAAAAAAAGTGGAAAGATTTACAGGAGAATGACACCGAAACAGAATGTTTGCCTTTCATTGCAAGTTTCCTATGGGGTAAGACACGCTCCAATTTTTTTCCTCAAAATGATATATTCAAGTGAAATCTAAAATAAATTAAACTACATCAGCTTTCAAAGGAAAAAATTGTGGTTTCAAAATGTTTTCATTGTTGCAAAAAAAATTGAGCGAGGCAAGCAGTTTCAGCACACAATGGAGCTATAATTTGATAAATAGCCTTCCATCATTCAAGGCTACAACTGTGCAAAACCTTGCTATCAGCACTCTCATCAAAGATATTATTGACTTTTCTCTATATACTTTTTCTGTGACTTTTTCAATTTTTATTTACTCTAGTCAATGTTTTAAAAAAAAAAAAAAAAAAGGTTGCTTACCACCTGTATGCAACACCTTGCAATCTGCTGCCGAAGGGTCATTTTCACCCTCTTTAACGTTGCTGATGTTGTCTTTCTCAAGCAGTCTGTCCACCATGGCAATAACACAGTTTAAACTCTTTCCAAAAAAAACACATTGGCCCACACCCTGTCCTGAAAAGAGCATAATTATCACTGCACATTACTGAAGAAGAAAAAAAAGGGACAATACTAACTTCTTATTAACACCTTAAAGTGGAGACAGACACGTGCAAATTACTAGAATTATTACTAGAAGTATTAAGTGTCAGCATATTAGCATTTTTCTCATTATTCAGCCTCCTACCAGCTTAAGTTTCATGGAGTTTTTTCTTCCAGTGTAAATGACTGAACTGAAACTGGTTTTTTAGACACTGAAAAACACAGGTGCTTCAAACTCTACATGAAAATGCATACAAAGTTTCAGGTCCAACCCCAAGGAACTGAGCAGTTTGTCTATTTGAAATAAGTAAGAAGGTAGACCTTTGAAGCCTTGCCAAATCAAATCTCATGTGCAACTGCCAGTTTTGCCATCGCACTTGACAACCTCTTTTTGATAATTTAACATACCCTCTACTTTATTGCATTAGTTACTCTGTTAAAGCAAATGTGAAATTAAAGGACTAGCATTACAAAATGGCTGTCATGACATGTTTATTAGGTAACACAATTTCAACTTCGTTCTTCACCTGTCACACAAACTGCAACCATCACATCCAACCGAGTTTATAACAAATATGAGAATTACAGAAGTAATAGAAGAAATTCTGTACAAGCAGAGAACAAAAGAGATAATGTGGTGTGAAAGAAAGAGCTGTTATGGAACAGAGATACAGGAAGGGTCCTTCAGGTGCTGGATGCTGCAGAAATCAAAGCTCTTGCACCTACTTTGGTGGGGCTGAATAAGAAAAGGGAAAAACCAAGCCAAATGAGGCTGTACACAAGGCTAGCAATCAGACTAAAGCCAAAACATAACAAACCCACAACACCTCCCCATGTACATGTTTTAATGCTGAGTCATTCCAAAACTAATGCAGAACAGCCAGAGTTTGCTTGGGGGTTAAAAATGGGAAGATAATATCACTGCTCTTTTTTCTATTTTATGATATAATAGCCAGAAGCATTATGTATACATCATGCCTTGAGGTGTAAAAATGGAGTTGCAAAGGACAAGAGAGAAGGTTAAATAAAACTGAAAACTCAGAGGAATACCATAGTTCCATATAAATGGTAACACTTGGAAGTTGGGTGAAGGCAAAGTTAGAACTACTACTAAGGCAAACATTTAATCCAAGATCTGTTTTGAATTACATGCCACGCTTCTTAGGCCATTATCCTGACTTGAGGGATCTGATCTTTCCCTGTTCCCTCCACTTGAGGGCACACCCTGTGGCAAGTGGGCATCCTGCCCTGAGGGACACGACAGGGGCCTGCAGACGGAAGCATGTACTTGCTGAATCTGTACAGCAACACAGATCCTCCCCTCCAGCTCCCCAGACCCAATTCCTGGAAATATCTTGTAGGCCTGCCTTAAGGCCAAGTGAGCATCTAGTGTTATAGATGGATATAGAACCTATGGTTTGGCCCTCTCCCTAGATAAACCCATGCCTTAACCATATGATGAAAAAGGTATTGTCGATTTACAAGGGCAAGAAGCTGGTCACTCTCATGCAGGACTGCACTTAATCCACAAATTATTTAAGTACTGCATGTACGATGCAACAAGTGGAAATATCTGCACCTGTACACATGAAACAAACCATTAGACACATGACTATCTGATATTCACACGTGTAGATACAGTTTAAAGCCAAAGGACACATATAGACTCCTTGAAAAGTTTCATCCTGCATGTACCTCAAGTGTTCCTGAAAAACATTTAAAAATATGAGTGAAGTCATTGATTTCCACCACCCACAAACATTATTTTTGGGGAAAGGATTCTATGAAGAGCAACAAAATGTTGCAAATAGAAAAAATTCTGTCCTCAAATAGCCGCAAGTTTTACCAGAGAGTAGCAGGGAACTTCAGTCTTTCTATTTACTGAAATTGCTGAGATATATGAACTCAAGTTGCTCAGTATGGCTGCAGCAACGTAATTTCCCTTTTCTTCCTCTGCTGGGGGAATTTAACCCCAACACAAAGACTGTTAAGCTCTGAAAAAGCATCTGGAGTTACTGCACAAGCAACACAAACATGAGCCCTTGTTCCATTTTGCAAAGAACACTTTTCTCTTTTTAAACCAGCTATTAACCCAGCATTGAGATGATGTCTATACAATATTCACACAAACATTGCCTGAGGGTTTAGAAGCAAAATTCAAAAACATCTGTTGACAGAAAGCTCACTTTTATTATCATATATCTGGTCTTTTTACATATGGGCAAGTAAGACAGAGGGAGCAAGGGCCTGTCCCACTGCTCTTTTTCTCCACATAGGAGGTTCCTAGGATTGGAAGCTATCATTATATGCAGACAGAAAAAGTAGATGTGTCTACCGTTCAGTGCGATGTTATTCTGTCTGCACCAAAGATGGGCACATTTTCCCGAGATGGCTGCTGAAAGTCGTTGGTTTGGTAAGAACAATTCTCAAGCAAAAATGCAGTTTACAATCAATGAAAATCAAGCGTCTCCCTACTATTCTCTGTGAGAAGAAATCCACCCGTTTCACATTTTTTGTCATCCCTTACTATTCCCATAACGTTTTCCTGTAGCCTAGCACACTTTCCACTCACCTTTCACCATCTCAAGTGGTCTATTTTCAATTTGCCCAAGAACTACCTCACAAGTGATTATTTTGCAGCACATGCAGGTTAAAGGACAAAATACACCCACAGCCTCTCAGGTATAAGCCCTCTGTGTGAAGTGAGGGATCAGAAGAAAATAAGTCTTATTTCTTGAAACACTGAAGTAGAGACCCTAGATTCCTAAGCAGGATGCTTCTCCCCTGATATCAGTTTTCCCATCAATTGCTGTGGTGTGAAAGAACAAGAGAAACAAGGTCTCTGGTTCTCTCTCATTACTGCTTCTTTAAGCTCAAAAGTCAAGGCAATGACAGGGAAAGTGGAAATCTGTAACAGGGCTTGACCCCATTGGGACAAGGCAGACTGGGACAAGGCAACGGCACGCTGACATTTTCTACTTCCAAATTTCAGCAGCCATTTGTGACATTAAGGAGTCCCGGCACATGTGGTTAGAAATGGCCATAGCTGCACGTCTCTTGCTGCCTCTTACGGCACTGGCAGGCATGAATGCATACTCATAGCGATCTCCATGAAAAGCTAGGTCTTGGCTTCACAGAAAGCTGGGCACTTTTCTTAGGACATTTAAAAATGAACTTGTAAAATAAATCTCCTTCATCCACCCAATTAAAAAAATGTAATGATTTCCATCCACTCTGAAAGTATCAGTAAAAGACAATTCAACTCCGCCATTCCAGGGAACAGGAGAGGAAACTATTTTCCTGCCATTGCACCTGACTGGAAGTCTTCCTCCTAAGCATTGCTGGCCAATAGTCCCAGAGGCTATCTTTTTGTTTTTAAAGGATTCTCAGGCTTTCTAAATTCACTACAGAGCTCCTCTCTTCAGTCATCTCTTGTCTTTCCATATATACCACTACAGTTGCGGGCTTTCTTGTGCCAAGTATGACACAGCAACTGCATTCCTCACTGCTCTGAAGATACTGTGTCTCCTTCATGTGGGTTGATAGCCATATATTACACTAAGGTCCTTTTGAGGTATGCTCACAGATAAAGCAAATATCTTAACTAATGTGCATGATTAACACCCTCTTGTGATGTGACAGTGCTTTGGAATGGAATATATTGTACACAGGTCAGTATTTCAGACCTGAGTCTGAGTACTGTGTCAGTATTTGTACGTAACTTATTGGAAATGCCATTTTATCTGTTCTTTGTAGCTCCAACCACATTAAGTATTTAGTCAGAAATGTAGAGCAGAAACACCTCCAAGTGGCAACATGCCCACCTTTTCTTGTGTTATACATGACAACATGCTTTGTTCCCTCTTGCAGGGAGGTTCTAGGATAGCAGAAGGAGCTGGAAAGAGAAGATAACATCTACCCAGAGGCAATCTAAAACTCTCAAGTTAAATATTTTTCCTTCAACAGTAACGCTTTACTACTGCTTACGTGTAGTGCACCAACATAAATAGCTCAATCCATACTGCTGTCAGCTACTCTGGGATGAATATTTGTACCTGGTATCAAAAAAGAAAGATGCAAGACTGTTGCTATTGAGAAGAAAGCTTTTTGGAAAACATTGGTCACTCAGTGAAAGGGCACCTTGCACAGTTAAGAAATTGGGAGCTATTCCTTACAGATAAACTTGGATGCCAGGGAAGAGTGTGGACCTCACCTGGTTTTTAAACACGACCTTTAATTCATTTTTGTGATGGTCATAAGGTAATGCAGTCATTGGAAGAGGATGGAACAGGGTCAGTTTGGAGAGCTGTTGGACATCACCGATTTAGATTTTGGGCAAAACTAAAACTGAAACTCCAGTTGTAAAATGTAACTCTAGTGCTTGATAATAGTGTGTGTGTCAGAACAACAAAGGGGGATATAGTACTGTGCGTACAAAGCAATGTATCTCAATGGTTTTCTCCTTTATAGTTGACTTTCAGAGTAGATTAAGCGTTTTTTCAAATTTTAAATGCATTTATTCTTTCTCTTTTCATCATGCTAATGACAATTTGATCATTAAAACTCACATTATTCATGACCTACATTGACAGATAGAACTGAAAAATAACAAACGCCTAATATTCCAAATTTAGAAAAAAACAAAATTTCTCTAAGATTTATACTGTGTCCAGTTTGACAGTGACTCTGACTCAGTTTAACTCAGAAAATACTTAAAGATACACTTAATTTTCATCAAGCAGGTAACCTTACTGATTCAGCAGAAAAAAGATACACTTTAATGTGCTTATATGTTTTAATAGATGAGGACCAAGCACCTGGCAGAAATAAATATTTTAAAAAATCAATAATGAAGTACAGTAAAGCTAGCTTCTCTGCAGAGACAGAAGCACTAAATTAAAATACAACCTGTGCAAACGTGCCATTTTTCCAATGCAAAATTTCTCCCTTTTATCAAATCTATTGTGATATCTATTTTTCTGAATGTTTCAAAAGCTGGAAACAAACATTTTGGCTTTCATTTGCAGGGAAGAAGAACCATTTGAGTCCCTCAGGTTGTTGAGAAAACATGAAAAAAGTGAATTCAAGGCTCTAAACCCAGAAGAAAAATAAAAGAATGAGTTATTTATTTATTGCTTAAATCTCATGACTACCTAATGCATGGGGGTCTAGCTAATTGTCTTTTCTCTAGAAGAAATATATTCTTCTTCCCTTATTTGTGGTATGGAAAAAAATTACAGTTCAGGTATAAGTACTGTAGCTCACACAAATTATTAATTATTTACAATAGCGATTAATATGCTGGCATCCTTTACATTTATGAGAATAAAGTGATGAACGGGAAGTATGAGCCTGAACTGAATAAAAATAGCTTGAGTTCAGGGTGTATGTAACAAAGAAGCAAATCTATTATGAACACATCGACCAAAATAATTAATTTACAAATTCTCAGCATATAAATAATACAAATCTTTGAAAGATACTCTAAGAATGTTAAATCTAAAAGTCATGTTTAATTCTTTTATGCAATCTCAGACATCCTCTAAGAACATAGTCTAAGGGAAAACGGCTCTGTTTTGCTGAGGGTTAATTCATGTGTATTTAAACTATTTATAGTCAGTCTTGGGGAAAAAAAAAAAGCAAAAAAAAAAATTCCCTCATAACAGCATATGCTGTTCCAGCCTCCTTAAATCGGCCTAACTAGCAAAAAGAACTCAAGTAAGAGCAAAGAAAGACTACTTTTCCTGTCTGGGCAAGAAGATATTCATCCTCCTCACTGTTACTTGCACAACCAAGCACTCACACAGAAGCACACCATATTTAGGAAATTTTTCAAGTTAATTTCAAAATGTACAATGCGTCTGAAAAATATTATTTTGTGGTTTTGCACTCCTCTCCCTCCCCCACAATATGTGACAAGGACACTTAGGGCTTGTATTTGTTTATGCTGATTTGTAGGGTTTAGGATTGAATACCAACCAAGAGTTTCTGACTACTTACCCACTCTTCCTCATCATACTCAGAATGATGGGGTATAGAGTCTTGTCTTTTAATCTGAGAAGGATGATCCTGATGCTGTAAATCGCCCCCCTCTTCTGCACTGTTTCTAGGCACAGCTGGTTTCTTGAGGACACAGCCAGGCCGGGCTGTGTATAGTGCTAAAAGGGCACTTCTGACCAGCTGATCCTTAAATGCATGCACAAATAACTCTGTCTAGAAAAACAATAAATTAATAAAAAGGTTAGACCAAAGAATGCAATACTGCAACACAGCCATTATAACATAATAGCCCTTATTATAACATTAAAACCCTTGGGTAGAGTGGCTATTTGTTTCAGGCCAGCCTGAGAGGCAGAAACCAAAGTAGACCAACAAACAATGTGGAAAAATTCAAGGGGTTTTGGGACATCATCCCATTTTACAATCCCATCAATCTAAGGTTCAACGCAAAAGTACAGTATCTGTCATAGAGATCATGGTCTTTTCACACAATCCTATTTTATTCAAGTTCCAAATTTTGCCTGCAGAGACAAGCCTCTACAAGAACCACTTCCTAGAGTAACCAACCACTATTCAATAATTTCTGAATAAGTGTCGGATAAAATGCGAATAACAAGTTTAAGGATCTTCTTAAATGAAAACCCACCACTCTACAGGGCTGAGATTGCAGTATCTGCAAAAGCAGCATTTCCAGAGATAAATTTTGGTACATGTAGGTATCAACCCAGATACTCGAGCAGGCGAGGACACACCTGATTTCTAGATTTATTTTATTTATTTTTAAAGAAAGGAAACCTTGAAGTAGTTTTTCCAGGCTCTGTGAGGATGTTATTCAATCACTGTATCTTTTTTCCCAAATCCTTCTTGACTGTGAAAGCTGGAAGTTTACCGTATTTTTAAAATCCTCCAACCTCCCTGCATTATTTATTTCCCTTTCACCCCAACAAGAAAGGGAATATGCTTTCTGCATACGGTCTGTAGCACCTCTTGTCTCTGCCTCCACGCAACAGCGCTTGCTGTTGCCACCAGTCTGCCACACAAGCCCACCTCCTGCAGGCACACACAACACGTGGCCCTACCTCCGCTGCTCCTCTTACTGAGGAGGCTGGCCAACCCACTCTGTCAGCTGAGACAACTTACTGAACAGCAGAGGGTGAGGTGCAAGGACACGTTCCCTCTCACCACAGGGCCGTAACCACTAGCAAAGCCGCAGTGACAGACAGCTGGGGAGAGTCACAACTTGGGTTACAGCCAACAACGTTCAACAGGGTCCGTCCATCAGGGTGGGGAGAGCACGCACCCTGTTGCTATACTGCATCCCACCCAGGCTGCCAGAGCTCCTCTCCCCTGGTTCACAGGTGATGAAACACCGTTTCACATTCCTTTCACAGCACAATTACCTGAATTTATTTACCCCAGGTCAGTGGGATTTAGTTGCCTTCCTATTTACCCAGAACACAGTGGATTGTCACATGCAGATTCAGATGCTGGAGTGCCTTTGTGCACACAATCTTAAACAGGTATGCGGAAAAGTATATAGGTAAGAGTCAGAGCAACCAGCCTGAACAAGCAGTTGCACAAAGCTAGAAAATGCTAGAAATAAAGGTTACCCAGCCAAACCTCATTCAGCCCGTTTATGCTTCTTATGCAAAACCTGGAGGAGAAGCAGCAAAAAACCCCAAACCAAACACATTTCAAGTGTCAGCATCTATCTTCCTGGAAATCTTCCTCCCCGTTTCTGCACTACTTCTATTCTTATCCTGCCCCTTTTTGCTAGTACTTGCTCCCCTTTTGTATGCCTCTACTCCTACTGAACTGATTTTACTTGCTTTCCTGCCTCAATACCTCCTCAAAAGTTTACTGACATTTAGACCACAATGCTCTAAATAATGGAAGGTTTTCTTAAAGCTCCGGCTGCTGGGTTAGGTACCTGCTTGAGAAGTTTCTGCTTTTTACCATTTTCATGACGCTTAGGAAAAAGGTATTTTTGATCCTCAATGGATACACACACAGAAAGGCTGAAAATTTACTGCAAATAAAATTCAAAAGTCTTAAAAATAAGAACTTTATGGATACCTAAGCTAGTTTATGACTTTTTAGACCAACATCAGGGCTTCTTTCAGACCTGATTTGGGATTCTTTAGTGATTTAGGCTTGGCAACTCTATCCATCTCCCCAGCAATTTTGCCAGACCCATTCTGTCTCCTCCTTACTAACTTGGTGCCTCAGAGAAAGGGTGCTTAAACAGAGACAGTTTTCTTATATGTAGCCCTTCAGGACTACTCAGAGAATATGTAGTCTTTGGGGAATATTGCTAGTAAACCCTACCAATCTTCTATAAAGAGGAGGCAAAGTGAGACTTTGTGGAGTTGTCTTTTCTTGCATGGTAACAGCAGAGCTCTTCTTCAAGACTGTTCTACAGTTCCATATCAAGAGAGTCCAAACTGTTTTACTTGTCTGTCCTTAGAAATGACATCATCATGGTTTTGCTGAGGTTTTGTACCTCCCCTCCCCCTCACATTCTGCTTGAGATCATTTCAGGTCTCTGCATCAGGCATGCTAGACTCGAACAGCTTTAAACTTCAGAAAATTCTAAGCACTGGTCAACTGGAAGTAAGGAGTGCCCACTATGACTGCAATGTAAGTTTCAGTAATTTAATTTAATATAAATATTTTATAGGGAAAATTAATTTTAAAAAGCAAACTGGCATGGAGGCGAACAGCCATTTTTTCATATAGACACTAAAATGCTCCTGTAATTAAATTCCATTCAAGGATTCCGTTGGTTTAACAACAATCTACATTTTAACTACATTTTCTTACAGCTCAGTACAGCTAAATTTGCAGAACACCACTATTTATAAAATTGTATTGGAATCACAAAACAAGTCTATACAAAGAAATGAAAAGTGTGCAAATTCTTTTAGATACTTGACTAAAGAATATTTCTGCAAACAAAGATAGGCATAGCTGGAAAATGAATTTATCAAGCCTTCTGCAAGCTGCAAATGCTGATACACTTGTCAACAGCTAAAGGCTTCCTTAATCAATTAACAGAAAGTGTTGATAGAAGGTTAGTCTCAGGGAAACATTACAGTAAATTGCAAATCATATATGGAGAAGTAAAACCATGCTTAATATGAGAAAATAACCTCAATTTAAGAAGCAGCAGTGGAATTATTTGATTTAATTTTCCACTTTCAATGCATGCAGCCAGTCCTTCCATTTCTAACATAAATACTTAACTGTAATTCACATTACTGATAGCTCAGATATACTCACTGCTACCTAATGTTTTTAGAAAGAATTATTCTATATATCAAGCTTAACATTATCTTAAAATAAAAAGCGATAAGCTTTTTAATAAACTTGAGGAATTTAATCACCAGGCAAATCATTTTTAGGACTTCTTCCAACAGCTGTTTAATTTCTAAATTTCTATCAAGTTAAAATGCAAGAGAACGTTTCTTTTTTATATAAGAAAAGTATACCAAAGCTGGGAGAGCAGAAGCACTTCATGTGTTGTGTCTCAAGAATACAGGTAGGCATCACGTAATTCTATCCAGAAGAGCATGCCAACCTATCTTAAATATAACCAGGAACACTCTTGTTAGTCTTGGACCCTCCCATATGGTACCAGACTATACAGATAGGTTATCTTAGGATATCGAGATGATGCTTTGTATTAACCATGAGGAATCTAATAGCAGCACCCTGTGGGCTTACCCAATTTGGGTTTTGAGACTTAATATCACCCTTCTCTGAAGTTGTTTCTTGGTCTTTCCTTTCCTCCCCAACTCCCTTCCGTTCTTTACAAGCAGCTGTCCCTCCACACTACCTTCCTCAGCAATGGTCCCACCCTTTTTCTCAATAATCGTCTTCTCCTCAGAGTAAATTTGGGAATAGACAGGGAAGCAGGTATTCAACCGTTCATGCAGCAGCTGTTCAGACAATTGGATTAATCTCTTTCAAGCAGAAGGTCGAGGCTAGACAGAAACGGTCAGGTGGACTACGTCGGGTGAGACTCCTGCTTCCACTTCTGGGAACATACACAACTAAATCACCAGCTATAAATTTAAAATATCTGTGACTTTTCCAAGTGAATGGATTGTCTTTTTTGGCCCTTTTCCGTAGTCAGACTCTCCAGTAGGCCATGGTTCAAACTGTGGGTCAGTATCACAGCTGCCTGCAGCCACTCTGAAATCATCCACTCCTCCTGCCCAGACAGGCGAAGGTGGGAAGGGCAAAGCAAATGTGGCTACAGCAAACATGAAAATTCCTTAACAACCATGTCTTGAATCTTCAGAACAAGCACTTTTTTGTTGATCTGCTTCACTTGCGTATGCATATTTCTTTGAACAAACTGCTAACAGAGCAGCTTCACTTTTTCTATGTGCAGCTAAAATGGCCTCTTTCAGTACTACATGGAAAGGTACACTATAATTGCCACCAAACCCCCTCCTAAATTCCTCCCTTTTATTTCCAGGCTGAATTCTACTTTCCTCTATATCCCTGACATTCACAGTGACTCCAGTGTTCTCAGAGTTACTGTGGATTTACACAGCTGTAACCGAGAGCAACGTTTATCTCCCCCGTGGCTCCAAAGCAATGCCTTCACAGTATGTGGCTGAGCTCAATATTCAGATTTGAAACTCTCCCATTGAACGATGTACTGCTGGGATAATAGTGCTCAACAGACCACAGGGGTTGCCACTTCCCAATAGCTGAAGATATATGGAAATGGTTATTGATAGTGTTATTAAGCCATATTGAGATCACATTACAGAAGGTATGGCCCATGAAGCAATGGGAAACTTTTTTCAACCCCTCTGGTCATAGCTATACTGCTTAATATTTTTATAGGATAACATATGCTTAAAAGTACTTCAGACTTCAGCTAATCTCCAATATCACTCTGTGAGACAGGTGGAAAATATTATCTTCCTTAATTTAGAGCTAAAGAAACTAAGATGAGGAAGAGCCTACAGCTACAAAAGGAGTATAATAGAGGAAGGAGGATTAAAACTTGAGACCTCCTGGTGCCAACTTCCTAGCTTCTCCTTCCAGACTGCATCACCATTTCTGATCATGCTATTAGCCTAAACCCTATGTTCAAACCTGGCTTGAACTACTTCCCACAAGGAGTAGTCTGAAGTATCACAGAAGGAGAAATAACATAACTGTTTATCATACCACAAAATTATTTACAATAATCTATTTTTGATAAATCCCAGTATGTGGCCACTAGAGGATAATAAAGACACATGAAATTAAATTGATTATACTTTCAAATAAAGACAAAATTTATAGATTTCATTAATTTTCTACATGGAAAGCCTACACAAATGCTAAATAATTTTCTTTTTCTGATAGCAACATTTTGAAGCTTATTTTAGTAGAGCTTATTTAACATTTCCTGATGCTATGAAAGTCAATTTATGCAGAAAAAAACCCCAGCAGTTAGAAACTTGCTTATTCCATTTCCCATTGCAGTGAAGATTTGAATCTTACTTTTTCTGAAAGCATCTTTAAAGAATTCTTCAAGCTGTCTGGAGAATGCTGGCTTGCAGAATTAAGCAGCAGGTCTGCATGGCTTGATATGAGAGGTTGTAGATGATTGATGTTGCTGAGAACTTCTTTTGCCTTGGCTGTGTTTTCAGGTGAATAGTAAATACACTGGTATCCAGTACTGTGATAACCGAGAAAGAGACACATAATGTCAAAATAATTTCTGCTGTTAATAAGCAATGCTTAATGTGCTAAAAATCTTACCGCTAGTTTTGCAAAAAATGACAGATACCTGAACTTCACTGATATCATTGAAATGCTCCTTCCTTTAAGGGTAAAAACAAATCCTTGCTTGAACAGTAGAGGACAACGGACTGCCCACCACCAAACGCTCCAAGTAGTACTGTTCAACCTAATCATTCCTTTGAGCGATTGATCTTAACATAAGAAAACCAGATTTTTATTTATTTATTTTAAAAAATATAATTCTGGAGAAACAAAAGGTTTGGCCAAGTCAGGTAACAATCACAAAGAGCATAAGGCTCCTTATTTTTCCAACTGAACTCCCTGTCACATTATCAACTACCTCACTAAGTCTTTCAAAATGAGTCATTAACATTTAATTGATCAGGGGCCCACACTACGTTTTGATTAGCATCAGTGATGTCCAGGAAGTGGTGATAACCAGAGTTATTTTCCAATAAAAACCATGTCTCTAATTTGCAAGAAACGACACGGAAATGGGGTGTGGGAATTAATTACTACAACACACAAATGCATACTGCAAACTTCCTGCTTTCCTTTTAACTGTTCACAAACTATGGCAAATCTTTTGCATGACTTCTTTTTCTATCCCTCATTTTTTCCCCAACACTTACTAATTCTGCAATATCCTTTTATACCATTATTCCAAAATCCCATTTTAGACAGCCTGCACACACCTACTGGTTCTCCACTATAGCATACATGTCCCCACCTAAAACTCTTGTATGTAATCCTTCCCTTTATAAAGACCTGCTTCAGTCTTCCAGAGAAACTAACCAAAATATTTTGCAGTTTCCTATTAACCTGTAACGTTAACACAAAAAAACCCCATAACCAAGCAACTCCTGGAACATTATCAATGCTAGAGCAATGTACATGCTACTCCTCACTTGCTTCTGTATGCATCTCCCTTCCTTCCTCTTGTGTCTTTTCATCATACATGCTTCAGTCTCTTCCACCCTTTCCCCATTCATCTAATTTCTTTCTTAATTTCACATATCAAGACCTGAATTTTGACACTCCTGCAATCATTTGAACTTCACATGCTGCTTTTCATTTCAGTCTTTTTCCAGATCTCTTCACTCCCGTTTCCCCTTTGTGTCTTCTACCATCCCATTTTCTCCTCTGTTTTCAACAAATTAGAAATTAAATTTAATTCAATAAAGGACATACACAATGCACATTCAGAAGTCCAAATGAAGTCACTTCCATAAAACTTAAAAAGCTTAAGTCTTTTGGCAAATAAGAACAGATGCAAGCAGTCTTAAAATTAAGCCTCTTGCTTAGATACTTTGCTGAGTTACAGTCCAAAATTCCACAACACCCCATCCTATTTTTTCTGTCTTTCACCAGTGTCTCCATTTTTAGATACAATTCTTTGTGAGGCTGTCAGGATGAACGGCATCGGAGTCAGCAAAGCTTTGCTATGATCAGTCATGCTACCAGCCACACCAAAATTACTATGCTTCTCCAATTCACAGTCCACTACATGAGTTGCTAGACTGCTGAGTCAGAATTCTGAATATTTCAACAAAACGAATTGTATAAACTGTCTCTCCTAATCAACCGGGCAAAAAAATCCCTGTCCCTCTGAGATATGAGGAAATGGCCACAGCTCTGCCTTCAAGGTGGCAACGCCGCTAGTGAAATGAACTTCCAAAGTTAGATCTATCTCTACATTCACTGCAACTCTCAAGCTGTCAGACTCAGTAGACAGGGCAGGGACAAAGAGTAATAGCCTATGTTAATCGTAGTGAAGACATAGTCTTAAAAGTCTTGATACTTCACAGCGCTGAATAATCTCTAATTCCCCTTCAGGCTTCTCCCTCCCTTTATCAAACAGCCTTTTTGCAGGCGCAATCTGGCTAACACTGTTATCAAGCTCACCACGCACATACTCCTTTCCGGGATTCCCCTCAGCCTTTAATTCCCAGATCATTTTCACTGATCTGCCACAGCTCTAAGCTTCAGTGACTATTGCAGCAGAAAAGCTACAGACAATGCTCTAAGAAAAGAAAGAGGGAAGAGAGATACCAAACCTGTGGGTAGTTCTCATTCTAATAAAATCAATCATAGCTTTCAAATAATGGAAACAGTGAAGAGAAAATGACTCTCTCTTCAGAATGAAATGTCCTATCAGGCCTCATTGGCTAATTTTAACATTTCCTGAACCCCAGAGAACATGAGATGACTACAAATATTCAGTTTCTTTCAGAATTTGAGAACAACTTCCCCTCTCCACTCAAGTGAGTGAGTGATTATTTTTCAGAAACAACACGTTTGGGAGTATCTTAAGTTTCTAACTCTTGTGTCTCAACACTGTTGCATCTAAGATTAGTCTGAGATTTTCTGTGGCCTTACCGTTCCCGAAAAGACATTACTACTTCCAATTAAGTGAGGTTAGTTTCCTTATAAATAACTATTTTCAGAGCTTGCTGCTGTATATAGCTATGGTATATAAGTAGTATTACTTAAAAGAAGCAGCTGCCAACAGAGCATACAGAGAAACTTTTTACAGGTGTCCTACTGTAGAAACTAGATGAAGGGAATTACAATATGAAGAAACTTTTGCACTAGGGCAAAGGCCACATGGGTAGGTCCAGTGCGGGAAATCAGCAGTCCTATGAAAATCTACCTTTGATATGTAAAATATATTATTAGTCATGTACCTTTTGGAAAAAGTCTATAATAATGTCTTCTGGGTTAAGTTTCAAAGTTTCACTAAGCATATAATCACACTTAATCACTTCCATGTATTAGCACCATCATTAAGTATGTACACATGACTGTCAGTGGTCATTTCAGTTTTAAAATTGCTTTAATGACATTTTCACATAATTTGAATAACGATTACATTGACTACATCTGCAATTTTAACTCCAAATTAACAAAGTTTTTGCCTGAGAATAAATACTGCAATATGCTAAATGTCTAATTTTTAATGACACTCCAAGTAACTCCACTCCTGCTGTTAACCGAGTAATTTGTGTGACTGAGTTAAATTGTCACCATCTGGGACTGGGTTAAATTCTTTCAACAATGAACATTTGACCTTGCATTTTTCACGGTCAAAACCGCAGACATTAACATTAAGAATACAGTCAAAGCATACACAGCAAGAACATCTAACCACAGATAACCTCGAGCTTATGTACATTACTGAAGATGCCAACTCAGTGACTTATTTATGCATCGCATGTATTCTGTCTAAAGTGGGAAGTTATGATCAAAAATAAATTGATTACATAAAAAAAACCCAAAACAGGACAATTCATTGCCTTAGGAAATAAAACTAAACCATGATGAGGTTTTGAAAACAGGCCTAAGAGTTCAGAAGCTTGAATTTTCTTTTTTTTATTTCCTTAAGATTCCCTTGCAAACTTGGAAATTCTAACTCTGAATACAGAAGAAAATGAAATTATTAGTCCTGTCTGTCTTATGAAGCCCAAATGTCCATGAATCCTCATCTTGAAGCAATGGCTAAGGCTGTATGCACAGAGCTTCTCTTGCTGCCCTTCTATTTCCTCTTCATTCCTAACTGACCCTTGGAATAACTCTACATCAATGCCTTCAACTGGTAATGGGACACAAGTTTCAGTGAAAATAAAGGTCAAGATGCCCTTCATCAGCCTTCTAGAGACCTAAGCAGGACAGATGCCAGAGTGGCATAGGTGAACCTCATAGTGAATCTTCCTAGGAAGGCTCCCTCCAGGAAGGTTGAACGCCTAGGAAAAGGTTTCCACAGTTCTTCAAATTAAGTTCAGAGTATCTTTACATTGGTGGAAAGATGCAAGTAGCCTTTAACATAGGGGAGAATCTTATGCAGGGTAACCGAGCATGGTTCTCACCAGAAGAAAAAAAGGGATTGTGCCTCAACACAAGGCTAAATGGTGCCTTACATGGAGCCTTTTCCTGGCAGCCTGCTGAAGCGTGTGTTACAAGAAAGGATGGTGAAGTCATGGATCCACTCTCCTCCAGCCACTCCAAGAGTCCATGTACATGGAACACCTTCTTGCTCGCCAAAACTTATGGTCTTTTCTAGCCTTGGCATGCAAAGCTCCCTAGACTCCTCCTTCCCTTCTTTTCCCAGCCCCAGTCCCCTTTCTTTTACGCCTGCTTAAGGAAATGCTCCAGGCAACTCTGTCCAGAGAGCCTAGCAGCTGGAGAATACTGCAATGAGGTTTTTATACCTCAATGAATAGCACAAACTTTGGCAGTGTCTCAGCAAAACTTCCAATAACCTTAATACATTGTTCTTATGGTCAGCAAAAAAAAAGTTCACGTCCATGAAGTCTAATCTCTGTCTCACACACACAGATATATACACACAGGCAAAAAGGGCAAAAGTGAGCAAAGAATAAAGTCTCTGTGAAAAGTGCTATGCGTGACAGGCTGTGGTTTCCCTCTGAGAATAAAGATTACAATTAGATCAAACACAAATCATTATTATTTCAAAATCTCTGGAATTTTCTGTGAAACAGTACCATTTCAGGTTTCTCAGAGAATGGAAATGGGTTGAAGGTTATGAAACTCAGGTAATAGGAACCCTGAAGATCTCAGCATTAATAAAATCTCTGGTAATGAGTATGTTAGTGAAGGAGCATACTTCACACCTTGACCAAAAATCTAGGCTTTAACAAACAAAAAAGGGTACTTTTAGATAGTTCAAACCAAAATTAAATTATTATGGCTTAAAAAAAAAAAAAAATCAACAGAAAATCTTTTTCAGTGCTATTCCAGCTTTAAGCTTGTGCTATTTTAAAGCAGGAACATTTCTAAAGAATTTGCTAGAAATGGTGTACAAAACCATAGTGAATCACAGCACCTAATGCAGCTTGTGAGACACTTCTGTTTTTCCTGATGGTTAGTACTGGGTCATTAAAAATCTTGTAATCATAACTCTATGTGTTTTGGCTAAAGCACATATCATCAAATTAGATTTTAAATAAGAAAACAAATCCTTGGTGTACCTTGAAAGTGATTTATGAACATTTCAAGCAGTGAGGCATTATATACATATCACTTACAGAATATCTGCCTTAAACATTCCTGCACAACTGAGCTCTAAAAGCAATAATTTGCTGTGCCATCCAGACCAATAAGAAGACAAACCCTTCTGTTTGCTGGAAGGAGGAGTAATCTATACTAGCAGGCCAACAGAAGACTAAGCATATTAGAGACATGCCTGATGTTTGTAGTGGTAAAGCCTTTTATTGGTCTCTCTGTTGCAGATAAAGAACAGTACAGACTGTTATAAAGCAATGAACCTGGCTTAAGATCACATACCACTAGGTCTTGTTTTTCACCTGAAAGAAAAACTGTTCTCCCTCTTATTTGAGACCATATTTTTAGAAATTTACCTTTTTTTTTTTTTTTCTTTTAATATGACTTGCTTGGTGGTAACAAATGAGAGAAGAATTGCAAAAATACTGCATTTTTAAACAAATATTATTATTCAATACCTCCCCTCTCATCTGCACAAAAATACATATTCTATGTAATAGAAAATATGCCAGACCTATCTTAATAGACATATTTTCCACATCCTTCTGTTTGATAAACTTTCATGAAACATACGTTTCACTCTTGTTTTGGTTTGGCAACTGCAAATGCAATTATGCTCCCACAAAGTGGGATATAACCTTGCTATCAGTTAACAGTTCCTCTTGTCTGTTAATTCCACAAGTATAGGTTTGAGCAAGGAATATTTTGTGATATGCTGACACTGTTGAATATTTCAATAAGCTGTTCTAATAATCAGCCTGAAGGTCAAAGGCATGCAAGGCATTCTGTCATGTGCACTAACAGTGTCTTGAAAGCTACTGGGATTGGCTTGAGAAATAATCTCTTCCCACGTCTTCAGCTCAGTTAGCCTAGAGGAAATGGCTGCTAAATCTGCATTTTTTTTTCTGTTCATTTTATATTCTGACTGATATCTCAAGGTGTCACTTCTTCCTTCAACCGAAACTTCAGAAAAGCTGCTCCCATTGTAAACCAGAAAATTTAAATTGTAAAAGCTGCCCCTGGAAATGCTATGTGTCCTCAAAGCATCCTCATGCAGTTAAACAAACAGGTGCATACAAAATAAAGTTGTCATTGCTGCGGTGAAAGAAATTTCTCCGTGGTAAGAATGAGAATGATACTTTCATGTATCTATTTAAAGTAGACCCACTCTTGAATATTCAAATAAGTGAGATCATATTCAGAGCTTGCTTTCTCCTGTTTTTTGACTCATACAAATTCTTCTAGTTGAAGAAAAAAAGAATCGTGGAGTTTTCTCTGAGCTGCCCTCAAAGATAGAAGGGAAGATGAATTTTGGAGGTTTCCTCCTTTATACTTCATGGGAATTCATACACTTCGCAACCATTTCTTCAGGTCTGGTAAGTGATTCGCTAAAAATTGCGTTCCCTTGTTTTCAGTGCTCAAACTTAAGTTCGTTAGCCTGACTCAGGCTCTTTTTTTAGGAGGAGTCTGACAGGATAGTAGCAGTTACCCTAGTTACATCATCCTAAAGACAGACTTTTGCTCTTCCAGGGGAACAAAGAAACACAAAGAAAACTGCACTATCAGAGTAAAGGTCCAGTACCCTGTCCTTGAAAGTCACCAAAACACAGGTGCTTCTGAGGGATGTAGAAAAGTCTGAGAAGCAGGGCAAGTATAAAGTGATGTGTAAGCTACTTGAAATAGGTATGAAATGCCTTGAGAAAACCTGCACAAAGCCTTACCCAGTGCTCCTGAACATAATGCTCTATCAACTTAGAGGTCTGAATGTTTGAGTCAGTGAAATAAGGCTGAATGAATACGAGAAGAGGCTGTGCTGCACTGACTGCCCTTTGCCATCCTTGCCTTCTGACATGTAACATTGGATGAGATCCAAAGAAAGGAGTCTAGCCCATCAGCTTCTCTCCCCTTGTTACGGGCAGCTAAAAAACAAGGGCATTGTCTATTCATTCCTATGAGATACTGCAGCATGTGCTCTCCCAGGAAGAATTCAAGGAAGACTAGGTCTCTTCCCTATATGGCATTTCCCCTTTTTTCTCCAATGAACAGATAATAATTTCAAGTTTGCCTCACATCTATCCTCCATTTTGGGAAATCATATTCTGCCAGTGTGGATAAGCTGCAGGACCATGCAAGTGAGAAACGGTTCATCTTCTGAAAGCTGAACACTGAGAACTAGGACTGCAAAGTTCTTTCTTGATATCACTTATGACTTTAATTTGTTCTTATGAAATATAGAAAAAACCCACAAAGTACCATTGCAACTATATTAATCAGATAGTTAAATAGCAAATACTTCAAGAAATGTCTTTAGACAATTTCTTTATCAGGAAGCATGTACTTCACAGGCCTCCATATCATGGGGACAAGGGTGCCTACACCAGCCTGCTGACAGCAGAATAGGTACCTACTGTTAACACAAACCCATTCATGGGTCTCATGTGATCAATGATATTCCTGTTTCATTGCCAAGTTTTGTCACCAGAGGTGGCCAGGGAAATGAAAGATTTTTAGAAGATTTAATAGGGTTTTTATGTCATGAAGTGCAAACAGAAAAAAATAATAATACGGTTTTCAAAACAAGTATGTCTGCTGGGTTGTTTTTTTTTTTTTGTTTTAGCATTCATGCCAACTTCTAGTCAACCTAGAAGTCAACAGTAGATTTTCATTGTTTCTTCTTTTATTCTTTATGATACTATACCCATGAAACTTTTTTGAGCATTGAATATAGTGGAATTCATTTTCTATGGAGCGTTGTGATGATTTAGATTAGTATACGTACGGTACCATACAGTTCTTCCTGCAATCCCTTTTGAATGCTGCGCCACCGATTGCATGGGGTTGGCACAGTTAGTCCAAGTGTTGAGCAATCACAACTATGGGTGCTGCCAGTGACAGCTGTGGCTTTTCAAAACTTAACAGCCATAGCAACAAACACAAATACATCCAATTCTTAGTTAGAAAAACATGCAACTAACACTTCTGTACATGTTCAGTGGTTAACAAAGCATTTGGGTATGGCAATAAACTGAAACCCTAGTTAAGGCCTTTATCTTTGCTTAGTCTCATTTTGGCTTTCTGAAGAATAAGAAAAAGAATAGTTTCTTATTTACTTCACAGGCATGCTAAAAATACTTCTTTGTTCACATATGCCCAGGGCTGCCAGAAATGAAGATGCTACCTTAAGCTACTGTTTCTTTATTGAAAAATTGTCTATAGCTACTTTCCACTTAGCACAAGAATTACCGAAGAGATATCTCATTCCGAACAGCGTGCTTTGAAGCACTGATATTCCTCAAGCTTCCTTAAACATGGGAAGAAAAAGTCATAATTTTGTGTTCAAAATAAGTCTTGACACTAAAAGTCAACTGTGCTTCAATGTTGCAGCCCAGCAAAGCAGGGAAGATAAAGGAACTATTTTTATGAATGCACCCTTGTCCAGTCCTACTAGATTTTAATCTTCCATGCATTTAGCATAGGAGGTTAAATTGTTTTGTTACTCAGTGAGAAAATATTACTCATAACATTTTAATGCAACTTTAATGATATTTCCCTAGCTACTTACAAAAATACCTACTTTCGTCTTTCTGCCTCAAATTTACTCAGCAGTTTTCGGAGACCACCATTCTTAAATCCTTGGAAATGGGCTGCTGGGGCTCCCACAGTGATGACATCATAAGCATCTGGAAGAAGAACAGACAAGCACAGAGATTTACACATGCCTATGCCCAAGGTATGGTAACAGTATGATATCTACTCTAAAAGACATGAGGACAGCAAATCCTCTGTATTATTTCCAAGGAATAATCGAGAATCTGTCTCTCAAGGAGGCCCAAGAGCTAATCAATCTTTCCATACAGCCACCTGCACACCTTAGAAAGTTTACCTGATTTATTGCTACATCTAAATTATATGCCACAGCGTAGAACAATATTCTAGCTCTGCAGTTTACAAAGCTGCCAAGTAAATTGGCCCTTTGTGTATTTCACTTTATTACCCCTTCCATTATTTAACTCTTAGTCATGTTGAGATGCACAGATTCATGCATTTTAGAGTCAAAAGAGACCATTATGATAGAATAGTCTGACTGCCTGAATAATACAGGCTACAAAATTACAGCTAATGTTTCCTGCATCAAGCTTATGTCTTCTGTTGAGTGAATGCATCTCTCTTTAAAAAAACCAAAAAAACCCCCCACCCAACAAAGAAAATCCCCCCAAAACCTCATCTGATCTTGATTTAGAGACTTCAAGTGACAATGAATTCACTGCATTCCCAGAGAAGCTGCTCCAATGATTAATCAATCTGACTAGTAAAATTTTCCACTTCTTTTCTAGTTTGAATTTGTTTAGCTTCCACTTTCAGCTATAATTACCTGTTTAATGCTACATTGAAGAGCTCTGGTCTATGACATACACTTACTTTTTACATATGCTTATAAAGATAGAGCAAGACATTTGTTTTCACTTGAAAAGCTACCAGAATGGCAAATAAACTATACTATTGAATTTTTTGCTGAGACAAACTTGTTACTCTCTGTTTGTACCTTATGCCTTGTGACATATGTGATGAACCTTTTCTATAGATGTATGCTTACAGAACTGGAGATGAAACACCTTTTTTTAAAAACAGCCTCTCATTTTGTGCCTGTGCTTGATTGTCAGTTCAGAGATGAAGATTTAATTACATTCCAAACCACAATAATTATTCCTTCAAAGTTTAAACTTACATTTGCATTAAGCAGTACCTGTTTTGTGCCCAAGCTCACTGGAGTTATAAAAATACAGGTCAGAATGCCTGATTCTTAAAATGAATTTCTAAAGGAAACATTGGAGGATGTTTTTTTGTGAACTATTTTATTCATCAAGGAAGCTTTCCATGTAAATGAAAATCTAATCCTCCCCTAAAATAGAACTTTTCTTGCATTCTGATGACAAATATCCCTAAAAGCAAGAACACTGTACAAATCATTTGCAGTTAATGAGCTATGTTTTACTTCCAGAGCTGAATCTCAAAGCATATTCGCTCAAATTGATTTGAACTCTAATGAATTGGTGACTCTTCAATTTCCACTTAAAAGGAGAAGTGACATAATTTCATTAGCCTCAGGTGAGCTTCAGGATTCTTAAATAGCCCATTCTTTCAGGTCTTCCTGGAGATTTATCCATAATACATAATCTCAGGCTATTAGAGCTCCATCGATACTTGACAATAAGTAGTTCTATTGTTTAAAACAACGGTGGCTTGAAACCAAAATAAGAGATGAACCCATCAGGTTAACTAGATAATAGGTTCTATGTTTACAGATAACTCGTGAAACTACATGTAAAAGACGAAAGCCTGGTGATTTTTTTGACTCTGTTAAAAAAACAGTGAACCTGCTTATAGCTACTTTGGGGAGGATTTACCCAGAAAGAAGCTTTCATTCGGCCTGTGGCCTCCTCTTAGCATGGTCAAGGAGCAGCTGTTTGAGACACAAACACACACATTACAGCTGAGCACCCACCCCATGCAAGCCAACATGGGAGAGTGAGGATGGCAAAAAAAAAATAAAAAAAAATGTCTACAATCCTGGTGATGGGCACAGGGCCATCTCACTCCCACTTTCCAGAGCATAGTACACTGGAAAGTGCTTCAAGACTCGGGAGGAATGCCTTGTGATGGGCTCCATTTACACATCAGAGCAGCTCTTTATGAAGGACATGCAGTGTCAGCATAAGCGCACTGGCACAGGAACGCTCCAGTAACTCAGAACCATCATCCATGTCAAGAACAGACTACTGCTGGCAACTCTCTACAGCGGAGACAAAGCTTAAAATGCAGCAGAGTTCTAGGGGCTGTGTCATATTGTTGGCATAGCCCCCCACTATTATTAATTAACAGATGTTAAAAAAAAACAAACCTCAACCCTTCCTCCAATAATTACTTCAGAATTTGAAAGAAAAAATGCAAAAGATCAGAGTGCAAGGAAATTGAGCTTTAAAATCAATCATCGTTTCATAGTAGTTATTCTGACTTGCAGACAAACTCACCTCTTACTTATACAAGTGAAACACTAACACCAGTTACACACTCGCCCAAACCCAAAAATTCCTTCACCGTGCAGAAATATAAACTGCCTGCTCATCGCTCCTTCCCGAATAGAACACAAAACTTGTGCAATGTGGTGACAACCACAGTGACACAGCAGAAGGTCCATAAACCTAAGTTTTATCAGGCCAATTTAAAGAGCTGTGGGATCATCATGTCAAGCACAGCTCAATCTCAAATTTAAAGCAAACTGCTTGCCTTCACTGGAGGCAGTCAGTGTCTCACACTGGCCAGAAGCAAAATAAAAATCCCTTCAGTCCACCAAATTTATTTAATACAAGCACATTTAATGTATGAACAGGGACAAAAGCAAAGCTACAGCAACATATAAATTTAACTTCTGTAGTATGATGAACAGAGCAAAATGCAGTGTTTATCAAATGGATAAGGATGCAGTTATCCCATAATGAGTATTTTTCTCAAAGCTGTTCCTACTGGAAGGTTAAACACACAGGTATTTTCTATTCCATGTCAGTACCTAATAACAACCCGAATCAAAGTTCAAGTAAAAGTAAACCTGTTATTTAACAAGTTGAACAAAAAAGCACATATCCACGTACACACATGATAGATAGGATTAAAAACTATCTTGCATTCCCAAATATCAAAGTATCTGACAGTGTAAGGGTTAATGACAGCTTTTTGGCTCATCAGTTTGTTTGATCACCACCTCTGTGAATCTTTTCAGGCTTTCTTCTTTCCTTTTCTCCTTTTCTTTTTTTTTTTTTTTTTTTTTTTTTCCCCCCCCCGTCAGTCATCTGGTTATATTCCAGGTGCCCTTTGATATATGCCAAGCAAAGCAAGAGATGAGAAAGAGCAACCTGATGTCAAAGCACTGCTTACTCCAGAATCATTAGTGATTACTACAAACTGTTCAAAGTGTATATATCTAATACAAGACACAGCTCTTTAGTGCTCATAAAATTAAACTTATTTTAGTAAACTAAACAGATGGGACAGCAGCTATGTAATAGATAGAGAAATCATTTCTTCAACCAAAGGCAAATATAATAGCAATCTTCAATTACTTTTGTTATATTTATATACTACAGTGCTACCAGAATTTCCTAAACATACTGAGGAACCCATTTTGCATACAGAGAAATAAAAAGGGCTCCCCATAATGAAGGTGTCAGTCTTCCAAAAATATGTGTAGGCAGAAATTCCCTGATTTTAACACAAGTTTTCTTCTTTATTAACATTTTGCAATCTCTAAACTTAAGTGTAATAATAACAGTGTTACCTAATTCTCATGTCAGTGGAGTGAACATTAGCTAAAGAAAAAAGAGGGATTTTTATAATTTAAACAAAGTTCTAAATTTAGAAGATGATTTTAACATTTATCTCTTTCTCTACACTTTTCAATTATAGTTTAACCATATGCCACAAGCAAAGTGGTTTTGGAGGAGAAAGGAGAAAATTCATTCAACGCAAACCAAAACTCAAGTACTATAAAAATTGTGGGTGATTAAGTGGCATATTTTGTTCCACTTTTTTATTTAGCAAATAAACATACAGTGCCCTGTTCCCAGCGAGGTTTTTTTCAAAAGTCATAAAATTAAGGTTCTGGCCACCTGTAGTCATAATAAATCTAAAAATGCTTTTGAGTTAGTGAAATAAATTCAAAACATCAGCTAAATTGAAATTTGTGTTGTCATTCCCTCACTATAAACCCCCATCTTGTTAAAACACTTGAAGGCACCATTGTTTAGTAAAAGAAATAACAAAACATTGAACCAATACAGTATCTAACAATCAGAAGTCTCCATTCCCCAACTTGGAAGTGGCTGAACATCAGCAATACACAGAATAAGACTCCCATAATTATTGCTTGTACTTACCATTTTACAATGTGCTTAGATGCAGAGTGTATTTTTAAGGCAAAACTCTTACAGACTGTAATTTCCATGTTTCTACAGTGACAGCAAATTTAATAGATCTCAATTTATCAACAAATTATTCACTGCGCTATGCTTTGCTCATATGTATGTATCAATATAATCTTTTATCTGTAAAGGATGCTGCTAAAACTATACGCAAGCAGCAGCAACAGAATTCCGTACTAAACAGAATCACAGACGGCATTACAGAAAATTATCCCCCTTTCCAGAAGGTATTAGAAGTTCACAGTATTTTCAGCATAATCAGTGAGATATTTGCACTTAATACTAAGCAAATGCTTACATGGCAGAGGCTAGCACTGAATAAGCTGATTTAGGCACAAGCAGCGCTGGCTCATTAAGGCTTCCTAAGAAACAAGATATATTAAGTTTACAAGTAACACTGTCCTTAATGGAACCGTGCAACTCGCATTGGTGAGTTCATCCCAGCAATCTCTGGGAGGAAATACATTGTGCTCTATCACTGTCTCTGTTGGCACAGTGGGGAAAAAAACCCAATCAACTTAGAAACAAGACAGGTAAGACTGGCTTTTACATAACACTGACATTGTGGATCTCAATGAAAAAATTAAGCCGTTGCCCTAGAAAGACGTGACTCTTACTGAACACTGCGCCGTGTGTCAGTATGAATCACAACAGTATTTGTTCTGCACTGCTACAACAGAATATTTTTAACCACACATAGGTTACCAATACATTTCAGTGAACATGTATTCTGCATTTACTTATCTGTTTGAGGTGTCATAGAAACAAAATGAGCACGACGCCTCTGGAATTTATTTTAAAAAAGAACTTAAAAGAAATTTAGTTAACCACTCCTCAGTTTTCTAAGATCAGCAGTCAGCATCCAAAACCTGTGGCTTCAGAAGGTCAGGTAGAGAAATCCATTGCATAGCTTTAACTTTGGACCTGATTCCTAAGTTTCAGCACAGACTCAGGACCTCTGATCAATCTCAGCAGTATTATGTCTGGGTGCAGGTTTCAGAATTTGTAGAGAAATGTGGGGGACAGGCAAGCTGATCACTTCTTTGATCTCATGATTTACTTAAGTATGGTCCTCTACGGACAGTACACACTCAGTTGCTCTAGAAATATACTAAATGACATCAAAACCCAAAACCCTGGGGTTTAGCAGCAGATGCACAGGCCTGAGAGAATGAAATCAAACCCTTCAGGAAGACAGGCGGCTTCCCGATACGTACACAAAACAAAGGCAGGAAATAGCCACACCGAAAGTTTCTAGAGCCCATTAACAAAGTGAAAAATTAAGCACTTTAAACCTGTACAGCAAACCAGATTTTTAAATAATGGATTTGGAAGGTTTTGTTTTTATTTAAAAAAACTAAACAGCCACCAAGCAAACCAAAAAACCAAGCAACGACCTAGTAATACAAGAAACCTCTATCAAGCCATACTGCATGACTCTTACAATGACTAATACTGTACAAACTTCATTGACTGGCAAAATACATGCAAAGTGAAACTAATCTCAGAAATTTCTTTAAATCACTGTATTTCTTGTGATATTATTTTCTCCTCAGCATCCTTCCAAATCCACATGAGCTGAAATTGCACACAAATTTACTAAGAAAAAAAAACCCCAAACCCCAATGTAATACAACTACTTTCCATGCTTTTTATTTGTAGCATCTTTGTGTCCACCTACAAAGTTTAACAAGACTGTTGCCAATCTCCTACCACTAAGTGAAAAATTCAAAATGACCAAGATTCAACTCTCTACACAGCATACTTTTCACTTCTATTGTGGTTTTAGGTCTCATCAGAAAGCATGTTCATCCTAGAAACTGGATATATAAACTAAGCTATTTACATCTTCAAAAGGGGTAAAATGGAAACCATACCTCTCAGTTGCAAGTTTAATTGTATTTCAAAGCACGGTTTGCCATATTTAGGGAATTTTTCCACAGAATATACTTCACCTTTCAATCGAGGACTGTGCACGTGCATTCTTTGCAGATGAAGATTTATTGGGATGAATTCTAATGTTTTTTCTCCTTTGCTACAGCTTGATTTGAAGGAAGAACCTGAAATACAAAAGTTTAAAGAATCATTATCTTAAGCACCCAGCATATGTTTCGTCTTCTTTTTAATGCGAGGACAATATTTGTATGTTAGGAGTCGTCCTTAATTTACTTTTAATGTGTAATTGTATATTAGGAGAAGAATGGTTCACTAACTGAGTCTCAGCATGTATCCATATTGGAAGCAACAAAACAGCTTCTAATTCACAGAACAATTATTTTTTTATTCTAGGTGATAAGACATTTTTTTCCTGCTGTCTGAAATTGGTCTGCAGTCTGCTGGAAACAATGTCACAGTTAATGTGTATTATGTTTACTCTGTGCTAAATACACAGGGGTACAGAGCTATGATGGTACTACATTTTCACCAAATAACATTTTTTTCTTAAAACAAAAGTATCTGAAATTCTTCTTTTTGACTTGCTCAATCGAGACTTGCTAGAGGTTATCTGTTGAAACTGCCACAGATTCCAACAGGAGCTTCCAAATGCAAACCATGTTGCCAGAGGGCACCAACGATGCTCCAGACCAGCTTAAGCCACTTAGTAACTTAAAATAACAATTTCACAAAGAGCAAAGGTAGCAAGAATAGCAATTGACAGGAGTCAAAAATTCAGATTTGATAAGAAACCTGGGGATGCAGGCTGAAACTTGGACTCACTAATGATGAGGAACAGCAGTGGGAAACCTGCAGAAAGACAAAATTATGGGAGCAGTGAAGGGAACTTGAACTGTGTCAGAGAAGAAATGGGAATAGTGCGGGTGAGGAGATTGTAAATCATTAAGAAAGAAAACAGAAAGGGGGCAGATGATGAGAATTCAGCTGAGGCCAAGATCAAAGCTTGAGGAATGATAATTGAGGCAAGGAAACAGTGGCAGACTAAGAGGAGAATAAGACGACAGAAGATTAAAAGGGACCAGCAAAAGAAGAGCAGAAGGGAGAAGAGGAGAAAAGCCTGCTCTCCCTGGAGTACGCTTCTATCCTGAGCTGTGGCAGAACACATGCAGCATTGCTGAGTCTTGTTATTCCTCTTTTCAGGGAAGACCTGTGAAGAAAGAATCCCTTCCCATCCAGTGCCAGAAACATATGGGATACTAACCACCCACTGCTATCAGTTATTCTGTATGAGATACCCATGCAGTGGAATTAATATCTCAATCTGCGTTTGCCAGTATTATCCGTATGATAAAACTAATTTTCAGTATAGTTTGTTTGTGTGCTTTTAAATAACTTGGTAAATTGTATTGAAGGACCAAGAAAACTACATTCCCTCTATTAAAATAGTTGTTGTTATTGTTGCAAGATGAAACTCTTCAAAGTTAGGTAATACCAGAATATAGATGCAACCTTCATCTGACATCCACCTGAAGAGGAACTGCGAGATAGACTTCAATGACATATTACATACTAGCTTTTTCCAGCTCATTGAATGTTTAGGGTCTTTGCTTGCTCACTTTAGCAGCAGTAATTCAATGTTTCGTTTCTAACTTTAACATCGGTACCTGGATTCAAATATATTGCTCAAGCCTCCCCCAAAGACAGGATTATTAATTTCCCCAAATCTATCTACTGCATGCATCACTACAGTTCCTAAGAGCTTTACAAATATTTATAGAATTATTTTAACTGGCTGAGTAAAAGGGTTATAATTTCATCCATTCCAATGGCAGAGAATAACTTAAGGTCAAAGCATTTAAGAAACAACGTATCAATATGAGATATGGAGGATCTCATTCTGCAGAGTACACACTATAATGCAACATCACATCCCATTTTGGAAGCACGGCTCCCACTGAGCTGAATTACCTTCATAAGCACCAACTACTTCCGCAGAACAGCTTGCGTCTGTTGCCAGGCTTCCAGAAAAGAACACACACTAACCACTTCTGAAGTCTGACTTGCCTAGTGTCACATAGCAACATTGTGACAGAGGCAGAGCAATATGAAATTGCCTTAACCTCGATTGTCTTTTCGTCTCCTTCTAGGGCTGGATGAATGTGCTGGTTTTGGCTGGGATTGAGTTAATGTTCTTCACAGTAGCCAGTATGGGGCCATGTTTTGGATTTGTGCTGAAAACAGGGCTGATAACAGAGGGATGTTTTCATTACTGCTGAGCAGGGCTGACACAGAGTCAAGGACTTTTCTGCTCCTCACCCCACCCCAACCAGCAAGGTGGCTGAGGGTGCACAAGAAGTTGGGAGGGGACACAGCTAGGACAGCTGACCCCAGCCGACCAAAGGGATATTCCATTCCACAAGACATCATGCTCAGCACATAAAGCTGGAAAAAGAAGAAGGAA